ATTAATTTAAAATTAGACTTGTTTAAGTGTTAGCTTAATATAATTATTATAATTAGTAGTAATAAACATTGTATTATTGTTAACAATAATAATAATATTAATTATAATGAAAACAAAAACAACATTAATAATAATAATAATAACAATAAAAACAAACACATTTGAAGTTGTATTTATTAATTTAAAATTAGGCTTGTTTTAGTGTTTTTTTTCATGACATTATTTTTTATATACATTACATTATTTATTAACATCAACATAAATTCAAGACATTACTACAGTAATAACTAATAATTGATTTTTTTATAATAATAATAATAATAATAATAATAATAATACAATGTTTATTATTACTACTACTAATAATAAAACTATTATTATTAAGCTATCAACAATAAAAAAAATAATTTTAAATGAATAACTACAAATTTGTTTATTATTATTATTAACCTTATTATTATTCATGTTATTGTTATTATTCATGTTATTATTATTATTATTATTTTATGATGATGATAATGATGGTAATAATAATAATAATAATAATTATTATTAAATGTTTATTACTAGTACTAATTTTAATATTATTAAACTATAAATATTAATAGTGTTGAATAATAATAATAATAATAATAATAATTTACACATTGTCATTTTATTGTTAATAATAATAGGCATATTGTAATAATAATAATAGTAAGGTAAATTTTGATAAGGACCCGTTTCATTCACTATATCATCATCATATAACAATATATCATTATATTCATCATCATAACTGGACAATGAAGAATCAATTTGCCTTCATTTGAAATAATGCGTTAAAAAACTGAATGTATTGCAACTATAAATATTTTCAGATCTATTTTCTCATCAACTTTTTAGATTGAGCATATGCAGATGACGTTTTTGACAGATTTGCTGCAATTATTTCCCTCATCCCGTCATGTATGAATGTCAGTACAAATCAATTGTAGCTTAAAATATCCTAAAAGCAGCACCTGAGCTTGTGCACAGTGTTGATGGAAGTGTTTAATACGTACAATCCTATACAATGACTTTCATTTAGCACAAAGCTAATATAGCTGCTGCAGCTGGACATCAAATCCGATGGATGCTGGATTATATTGCACACAACTGTAATAAAATGTCACGTCGATTCTATTCAATGTTATATTTGTTTTCTAACTATCACTACACGCTGCACATTCCCTTTATTATGTTTCATAGGCAGCTCCAGTACCAAGATGCTGTTATATCACTAGCAATTGTTATTAAAGGAACCGTTTTTTAAGAAATAGGCTTCTTTTACATCTACCCTTGAGGTAAACAAGTGTGTTCTGTTGTATCATTTTTAATCCATGCATATAATCTCTGGGTCTTGCAGGAGCACTTTTAGCTTAACATAGATCATTGAATCGGATTAGACCATTAGCATCTCGCTCAAACATTTAATTTTTTTTTTCCTATTTAAAGCTTGACTTTTCTGTTATATGCATTGTATACTGTGGGAAAATTAAACCTTGCCATTTTCAAGGTCAAAAGGGCTAACTATACACTGATTCTGGCGTAATCTTTGCTGGTGTTTTTAGCAAGATGCTAATTATCTAATCGGATTTGATGATGCAAAGCTATGCTAATAGTGCTGTCGTCAGAAATCGAGAACGGCTGATTGGATTTAACTCATTAACACTAAATGGGAGCCTTAAAATGATCTATTTACGGCCAAAAAAAGTGTAGCATTCCTTTAAATATCATACAAGCTTAAAACGCAAACTCAAAATACGAAACACTTTTGCTGCAAAAATAAAACGTCAGCACACATGTGTTTCAATCTTATATTTGCTTTCCAACCATTACTACACACTGCTCATTCCCTTTATGTTTCATAGGCGGCGCCAGCACCAAGATGCTGTTGTGTCACTAATATTTGTTATTAAAGGAACCGTTTTTTAGAAATAGTCTAGGTAAACACGTGTGTTTAACCATTTTTTAAATTTATTCATATAATCTCTGAGTCTTGCAGGAGCACTTTTAGCTTAGCTTAGCATAGATCATTGAATCGGATTAGACCATTAGCATCTCGCTCAAACATTTCAAAAAAAGAGTTTTAATATTTTTCCTATTTAAAGCTTGACTTTTCTGTTATTTACATCGGGTGCTCTCGGAAAATTAAAACTTGCTATTTTCAAGGTCTAAAGGTCTAACATTCATTCTGGCGTAATAATCAATTTTTGCTGGTGGTCTGATTTAAAGATGCTAAGCTAATAGTGCTGCCGCCAGAAATCGAGATCTACTAAGTGAATTAAACTCATTGACACTATAGGGAAGCCCTAAATTATGTATTTATGCATTCCTTTAAATATTATATATGCTTACAAAGCAAACTCTAAATATGAAACACTTGCTGCACAAATAAAATGTCAGCACACCTGTGTTTCAATCTTGCTTTCTAACTATCACTACACACTGCTCATTCTCATCATTATGTTTCATAGGTGATGTTGTTATGTCAAGATGCTGTTATGTCACTAATATTTGTTATTAAAGGAACCCTTTTTTAGAAATAGGCTCATTTTACATTTCCTCCAGAGGTAAACCGTTCAGTTTTTGCATTTCTGAATCAATTCAGCCGATCTCTGGGCCTGTCGAGAGCACTTTTAGCTTAGCTTAGCATAGATCATTGAATCAGATTAGACTATTAGCATCTCGTTCAAACATTTAAAAAAACGTTTCAATGTTTTTCCTATTTAAAGCTTGACTTTTTCTGTTATTTAAATCGTGTGCTGTCAGAAAATGCAATTTTGCTATTTTCTTGGTCAAAAGAGCTAGGATATACACTCATTCTAGCGTAATAATCTATCCTTGCTGGCTTTTCAGCAAGATGCTAATAATATGATCAGATTTAACGATGCTAAGCTAATAGTGCTCCCGTCAGACCCGAGATCCACTAGATGAATTAAACTCATTAACACTAGGTCCGTAAAATTAGCCTATTTTACACCAAAAAAGTCTAGTATTCCTTTAAATACAATATCTGCTTAAAACACAAACACCAAATATGAAACACTTTACTTTTGCTGCAAAAAAGGTAGCAACCTGTCTTCCTCCATTTGCCTCCAGCATTTCATCTCATAAGTATATGTGTACTGAGGCATTAAAGGTGTAAAAATACACAAGATACGAGTTTCTATTATATGAGGTGAATTTTAAGTGAGTGTATCCACGTTGCTCTTTTGTGGAAAGGCGTTTTATATGAGTGTGAGACTGCGGGGATTGTTCATGTTTTTGTTGTTGTTTGTTTCATGTGGAAGCAGCCATGATTGTTTGGTGGCCTTGTGAATGAATCTCAAAGCACTTGTCTTTTGAAATACTTGAGTTATGCAAAACACTCACAGGTTTAGAATCTGTATGTAATAAATAGAACCTGTTTAAAAGATGTCATGGTATTGATTTATAATACATTTTTATTATAGTAAAATGCATGATAAGTATCGGCTTGTTTTTTTCAATAACTTGAGAAATTGAAAATGTCCAAAATATGGGTAAAATAATATTGTTTTAGCATTCTGCATAACATATA